ATTTGTCTACTTAACGATCAGTCGGTTCCTTCAGAGGATATTCAGACAGCGTCCCTGAAAAATAAGTGAGAGGAATTGGACGTGACAGTAGAGCGTGATAAGCACGTGCATTTATTTATTATCATATAGAAAAGAAGTTCGACGTCTACGATGGAAATCAATACCGTTTCTGAGGCGCGCCCCGCATTCCACTTCCATTCAGGATTGTACTGGCGTTTTGAATTGTGTACATGACCTACACAATGACTTGCGGTCACCTAATGTACGAGCCAGAGCTTTCATCCTCCCAGATGAGTCTGGTAACAATTGATCGGCACCGAAAAGTTGAAAGTCTTGGTTGGCCTGGGCGGATGTCCAGGATTCAACCCTCGGACTATGGGCTGTCGTGCTGGGCCACTTCACACTACACGCTCACCTCCGCCCTGAAAAAGGACGATCATACTGTGGAAACTAAAGGAATTATCAAGTAATAAAAATAACAAGTGCAGCTGATTTCGTTGTTTTTCCACATCGTTTATAAATCAATCCGAAGTCCACATAAATACCGATTAATCTCGAATTAATCAAGAATTCCCGTGCTTAACAGAATTAGGTATTTTGCAAAATAAGGTCGGTTGGATATTTCCATATTTACTATTTTTCTGAAATCTCCTGAACCTTTTTGAATTTGATATCCGAAAAAACGAGGTAGTTGAATAGTTTCAACTGGTCCTTTGGTTTTTGTCCCTAAACTCGAAAGACACACTGAACGATAATTTTGGGTTAACCAGTTTTGAAGGAATAATGGAGATGATAGTCGGGAACAATGCAAAAGTGGCTGCGAAAACGCGAAAGTCGGCCATCTAGAGAAATATCAGGCTTCAAAAAATAATGTAGTCAGGAGTATCGCGGCGACAAACGTTGCATATAAAGGGTATTTGGACGAGTTATTCAAATGTGTGTTGTATTGCGTACTGATGACTGGCTAAAGACAGCTAATGAGTGAGCAGCAAGAAATTTTTGAATTTCCAAAACCTTCTTTCTACTTCTAAAAAACTATTTCTCCCGGAATTTCTAAAAACTACATTCCCCACTTGTACAGAATAGGAGACCGAAGGTTAATAATGGGAAGAAGCACGGTAATATTTAGTTCACTGTTTTTTAGATTTTACTTTTACTTATCCTCTGCTTAAGCCTTCACTTTTTCGCTGTATGGTTGAATAAGATTCTGGTCTGTGTCACCGAAATGGACACGATTTCGTCATGTAGACAGAATTTTTTGCAGTGAACTAACTAACTTAGTGACATCGTACTGTATCTTTTCTCTCCTTTCTTATCTTTAGGAATCAGTGGAATATTTTTGGGGGTCATACCCATAGTTCAGAGGCCAAGACTCGATTTTTGTCCTGTCCCACTCGTTCATCTCTTGAGATTGGCTATCTACTTGATAAGAAGGTTGCCTGCTAACGGTAAATGGGAAAACGCTGAATTGGCCTTCCCTTGTAACTCATTGTGCACATCAATCAGTCATTCAAATAGCAAAAATATTTGGAGCTCAACTTGAACACATAGCGCACTCAAAATAGGATTGGCCAACGACTGAAGCTCCGTTTCTTTTATCAATTTCAAACTCGTTCCGTTGGCTGAGCAACTGAAAGAACTATTGTCAGAGATAAGAGAATCGCAGAAATTAGGCAGGGTTGTGTACTCTACAAGGGTTGGCCTGTACGCCGGCCATGTGTATCCTTCCGAAACTAAAGAACTCGTCCTTAATTGGACAATTTGGAAATTTGCAAATTAATAGATAATGTTCTTTCTTCTTCATCCATCATAGTTTGTGTCGACCAGTAGTGTAACGTACCGTAGTTCGGGAGGAATGTGACCTTAACCATGTCACTAACCTACACCTCTTGTTTTTCTTACCACCTAGGTTCTCTCAAACAACTGCAAATCGTACTCGAATCTATAGAAGTATAGCCAAGGGCAGCACACTTGTAGTCAAATACTCTCGTAGACTATTTTTGGTGGCTTGCATCCATTTACTACTTTGACAGCCACTCATAACTTATGCGAAGAAGTCGTAAAGCATCCATAACGAGCCATAGGGATCTCCGGCTGAATGATGTCCAGGTGTTTTCAAGGTGTGTTGACTTGGTAGCGAATCGACTTACGGCCGGATGCCGTTTTGTATGAAAAATGCATAGTGTTGGTCGCGTGTTCACGTCAGAACCTTCACTTAGTTGACGAATTGCACCTAGGGAGTAATTGGGGTGAGTATTTGTGAAAAATGGCTGGAGGGATGAAGTTGACCCAAGAGCCAATAATATTCGTCCTAAATAGTTTTCAAGATAAAGTCGCAAGTCATAGAAGAGGCGGAGGTGGTGTAGTGGCAAATGGCACACTATCAAACACGCGTGGTCACGGGTTCGGATCTCGGATCGACATTCGATTAGGCGGTCATTTGGTACCAGTCTCGTCTGGGAGGACAGAGGCACTGACCTGTACATCGGCTGGCCACCACAAGTCATTGTATGAGCCATATACGCATTCAATATGCCACTACAGTTTTGAATGGAAGTCGAATACGTGAGCGCATTCCCCAAACGGGATTGCCCCAAGACTCGAATTTCATACCTCAATTTTCGAAGAACTCGTAGATAAATTCATAGTCCTGCTTAATGATTATTATTGCTTTTTCTGTTTACTTTTCCTTTACAAAAACTGGTTTTCCGCTGCAGCACGCAATCTTTAGGATTTTTTCTTCACTATTTTTTAAATTTATTTATAAAAATTACAAACGATTTGCTTCGCTATTAGAATGTGAACCCTTGAACTGGTTTTATATATTTTTGTTGTATTTAAAAAGCCAGGCTTGAAATTCCAAGCCACAAGAGTTTGGCATATTGTGGGCAAAACTTCGGCCTCGGAAGGGTTTACAACTTGTACATGTACGCTATCCATGTCCTCACTCTACTCTTTATCCCTCGCACTACCGCGATCCCACATAAATCCAATCCTAAACTCAGTGAATAGAAAATGGTAATTCTGCTCTTGATAAGTTTTGGTTCGGGAGGCGCAATATATTCGGATAAGATTTCATGTTATCCTTACTATGGTGAAATAAATCGCTCGCGTCTGTCTGTCTGTCTGTCTGTCTGTCTGTCTGTCTGTCTGTCTGTCTGCCTGCCTGCCTGCCTGCCTGCCTGCCTGTCTGCTTGCCTGTCTGTCTGTTTGTTTGTTTGTTTGTTTGTTTGTTTGTCAGTAACATCCGCTATACCCGAATAAGCACCTATTCAAATTCGGAGTGGGTCAGACTTGGGGCAAAATTAGTAGAGCCTAAGCGAGCTGAGAAATGAGTCAACAATTAATCCAAGAAGACCCACTTGCAATGAACTGGATGTTATCACAAGGGGCGGTACTTCCTACACAAATTCATAATTCTGTTCAACGAAAACGTGGAGGTCAGAAAAAGTGCAACAAGTGGGCAATGTTTGATACGTACGTGCTGGCACGCGTGAACCTAGAGAGTCTTCACCTATTGTGGGCGGAGCTTGCATGCAAATAGAATGTGTTTTATAAAAATTTAAAATTTTGTAAAAAACGTTCAAAGATCCGGAAAAGTTTGTTCAAAAGCGTTCCAGAACGGGAAAAAGTAGTGAGTTGAACTGAAGTAAGGTCAGTCAAATTATCGTGGTGGGCGGAGCGTGCGCCGAGTTGGGCGTAGTAAGATCACAAATACAAGTCTGTTCGTAAATGTTCCTTCCGATAACGTTCCCCGTAGATGAGTTCGAGTTGTTTTTTTCAGAATTGACGTGCCTTCTTCGGCCGCATTCCCCTTCATATGCTCTCTGACGACAATTGGCAGGCGATCTCTACTCATCCAACAAACACTGTTAGATGCAGGTAATCACTAACCATTGATACATGGCGATCGGCTTAATAATCGGTCATAAATTTTATTTGGTTGGAAAAGCCATTCATATACGAGTCGAGGTAGATCCACGTCTGAAGATCCATACTAGAGAACAGAATTTTTAACTCAGTCCACTACTATTCACAGAGAGCGTGGAAGAATTGCCGTAAGGGGAAAAAGGGTGCGGGAGGAGGGAGAAACGAGAGAATGAGGATAAAGTGACCCCTCCAACTAGTAGCAAACATTCTGTCATGGCCTAGCCTAGAAATTCTTAATTGCATCTTCATCCTTGATTCCGGATTATATTTTCAGCTGAATTAAATGGTCAGCTTCCTCAGGAGCTTGTATCATAGCATGCTCTCAAAATAAACTCAGCCAGTGGAAGGGTCCGACTGTGCAGAACTCATAGCACAGTCCAGGTATAATGAAGTAAATGAGTTATTTAAGGAGCTCCTCGCATTGTTTCATCGGCTCCAACCGAAGTCTTCTTTCATTCTCGTGACGATGCTGATTATGTCGTTCTGCCATGTGCTGCAGAAGGCAACCCTCAGCCGGTGATCACTTGGTTCAGGAATGACATCGATGTAGTGAGTTGCTAGTATCTTCGCTAAGGTCATGTCTGCGATGAGAAAATCTTATAAGATAGTCGTACTCGAGTATTTATGAAAAGAGTAGGAGGGAAGGGATTGGCCTAGGAACGAGAAGTTTCAGATAAGAAGGTTTTGCCCTCATTGTCCCAGCTAATTCTCTCCCATCGGCTCGACTTATTTTCTCGGTGAAGTTCAGAAAGATTTCTTGAACATGGGAATGTATGCAGTTCTGTATTTGGGCACTTTCTGAAAAGTGATAAAGTGGGAGAAGGGGTAGATGACGAGAGCTCCCAGGTGCTAAGTTGTAGAGCAGTAAAGTGGCGCAAAATTGGAATAGTGGCCATAAGTTAAAAGGAATCGCCAGGGTTATATCTCCTCCAATCAGCCTCTGGTTCAGAATTGTAAAGAAATTTAGCCATTATCTTCCTCCTAACCTTGCCTGCACTTTGCTCTACATACCCTGTGTGTTCAAATCAGGAACGCAGGTATCGGACCTAGATACATGAAGATAGCGCTTTCTAAGGAAAATCACCCTCCAACTGGCATCCAGACCATAGAAGGAACGTCCCTTTTGGAGGACTGGTGGCTCTTTAAGAAACACCGAATCGAATATTCGCGATTTTCTTGATGTGCGAATTAGGTAAATGCTAATCTATCGTGGAATCAACGGTTTTTAGGTGGTACCTTCCGGTTCCAGTGTGCCATATCTGCTGTCTGGTGGATCTCTGTTAGTTCCAGCCGATCCATCATTAGCATATTCGTCGTTCCATTGCACTGCAAAAAATCGACACGGTGAAGTCAGGTTCGGATAGATTTTATCTCCATTAGCCATTAACATTCCTATACCTTTGAAATACTCATAAATGCCTTAAAGTGGCATAGCTACAGCTACAATCTGAAGGATGAAGCCTGTTGACGTCGTTCAATACGTGTTGGTATGCGCCCCGCATTTGACTTTCAGTTGGGACCGTAGTGACGTTTTGGATGCGTATGCGATCCATACAATGATTTGCAGTGGTCAGCCGATTTACAAGTCAGTCCGTAGGGATGGAAGGCTTTGTTAGGCCAGGCACGTGTTGTTTCACAATCCAATCCCTGGACCATGCAGGCGACAATGCGCCACTTGGCACCACACCACCCTCGCCCCCATATATCTGATGAAAGATCTTCATTGCACATACTCGAATTCGAAATATGTGATGATGTGAAGTAAAGTGATTTCCCGCTTGCCAATTCCATGTTCACTCCGATTAACTAATTGTATAGATCTAAGACTAAGCGTAAACAGAAAGGGCAGTGGAAGGATTTTCCCAAAAGAAGCTTAATTACGATAAATGTGCGACCAACAGCAGCAGAAAGNAAGAGGCAGCCATAATCTTTGAGATCTAGCTGCATCGAGAGACATCGGACGGTAGTAAGTTGAAGAACAAACAGCATCAAACCAATACTACGTAGAACCCCACAAATCCAAATTTAAGTATGAGCTGCGGTTTACGGTAGTAAGCGACAGGGTGCGACAAAAAGTCGCCTTTTTAAAATAGAAACGATACATAATGCAAGGACATACTGGACACGTGACGGCGAAAAACAGAGAAGAAATTCGTCTGCCAAGCTTCCGTCAGTAGTTCCTAAACCGTAAATGAATAAAAAATACGGAAATGGTAGTAATTGGTGGCAGAGTACAGCCAAAAGTCACAAGGCGGCAAGAGACGGCACTAAGCGATAAGTGGCGACACTGGGCGACAAGCGGCGGCACTGGGCAACAAGTGGCGACACTGAGCGACAAGTGGCGACACTGGGCGAGGTGTGGCGACATTTGGCATCTATACCTTGGCAAGACGTTTCTGAGCTAATTATCCATAAAAATCCCGATGTGTAATAGAATTTAAATTCTTTTGACCCTTTCCCTCAAACCGATCACTATTAGTAGCCAAGCGCTACTCGATCGACGATTCTTTATTGGGATGCTGACGTTTCAGTTTTTTTGGTGCATGGTCAGTTGTTTGGTTTTTATTCCCACTAAATTTTTTTAGAGGCCCGTCTATACTACTGAAACCGGCATTTCTGGATTCGTTTCGAACACATCGCGGTAGTGTCGTTCCGCTGTATAATGGTGGTGCAAAACTTGAATGTGATGCGCCAAATCACCAACCGAGTAAGTTTTTATGGAAGTTTATAGGTTCATAAATGTTACGATGTTTCTGTTTTTTTTTTTTGACCAGTAAACCTGCTGGACCTGCTGGAGTCTCTTGTGTAATATATGTACATATTTCGTGGCACAAACTGACTGTGTCGTAGACATATCAATAATCTCCTGCTGACCAGATCAGCTACTCATTTGAAGCTACCCAACGTGCCAATCCACATTTCTAGCTTCTCCTCAGTGATTTGTAGCTTCTTCTCGAGCTTATCAGATTTCTTTTTCTCGCTTATCGAGCCCAAGTTATAGGCTCAAATAGTTCGGGGTGTTAAGCTAGGGCCCCCACCCGGTATAAGTAGGTTAATAAAGCATAAAGTGTTTGGGTTCTCCCCCAGACAAGTCGCACCGCACCGATTTACCGGCTCGTGCTGGATAGAAGCTTCGGTTGACCTGACCGGACGATGATACGGGATCTAATTCCCTGACCGCGCGTGTGAAAGTGGACACCACATGTCCCTGCACCACCTCTTCTCTTGTATAGGTTGCCACAACTTCGATAAGCAGTTTTGGCATCAGATACAATCAGCTGCAGTCAGTCCATTGGAAGTAATGCTGGCACCCGAATCGTGACTGTAATCCTACGAGTTTGAGTACTCCTCTAAATAAGGAAACTACCATAGTTGCTGAGAAGCTGGAGCGCAAGGTTGAGGCTAAGAACCCTCCCAAGCATATCACGTTACCCATGCTGTAAGCCCATTTCAACTTGTTCCTACTTCTGAGTAAATTCGTTTATTGTCAGTGCAACTGAAGACAAATCGAATTAATGTCTCATCTAGCCTTGTACTTAGTTGAACATAATTGAGTTCCGCTAGTTTATTTCCTTTATTAGCAGCAATATTAGTAACTAAAGACTGTATCTATTCCATGTGCACGAATCAAGGTTGTGAAAGCTGTGATACTGTCCCAGGACTCAAATTATTGCACTAGGGACTACCAGTCCTTTCCTACGATTTGCCCGACAAAGTAGCTGTCGGTCTGCAAAACTCAACAGTTATGATTAGCCGGTCTAGGTAGTGAATACCGCAATGTTGAGGCACAAAGTTTGTCGACTCTTAATCTATTTGAAGGGACGAGCACAGGCTTAGAAGACTTGCTAGGCATCAGCTCTACATTTACGATAAAACTGAGACACTTTTTGGCTTTTCTAATTTTAGAACTGTACAGTTGGCAAAAATAATGGAATCAAGATGACATGACAGAGAGGTCCTACCTCGTCTGTCATGTCATCTTGATTCCATTATTTTATTGCTCCAGAGGCGTTATACCTTTCTGGACCTCGATAAAAAATTACCTGACCAAAAGCTTTTGGACTTTTCCAAAAGAAAGTTGCATCTCGATATCTTCTTTAAATTCGATGGAGTAGCCTCAGCTTGCTATAATCAGGTCGTTCTCCTAAACTCCAATAGGAGTAGGTTTTCTTCGTAGTTTCCAACCTACGATCTAGTGTCTCTAGTCAATTCATTCCTCAGAACTATGAGAATAGCATTCCGTATAATTTCTCTACGTCAGTACTTCTTGAAGACCATAGTTACCCCTCAGACTCTCTCCAGATTACTGAAACTCATTCGGGTCCAGTCAGAAAGCCCGAAACACCCTTCCAGTAAAACCCTTTGAATCATCATCGTATTCGGGAGTAATCTGTCACAACTAATATTGAGCCCAATTGGATGGACTCGTCGGTCAACTGACGGGCACTCCCATTCATGGTCGCTATCCCTGTTGATCTTAAAAGGCCGTAGAGCGCGAAATTGCCTCATTAACATGACTACAAGGCGCTTAGAGCGGCGATAAGTGACAGATGCCCGTTATATATAGTTTTCGTAGTGGTAATGAACGGCTGGACTCAGAAGAGCATCCTAAGAACCGAAAGTCACTCTGGACACTTGTACAGTTCCGCTATGGTAATGGAAGTTACCCCAACATTGCTACACCAGCCTTCACTCCTCGATTTCAGCAGAATAATAGGTCTGTATCCTTTAAAACCGCTTCAGAACAAAGGCTGGAGAGCCACTTCGCTCATAAGGTACTTAGCTAGGTCTTTAGATGGATCATATAAGTCTTTCTTCGGTCTGAGGCCGACTGGGTAAACTCAATTTTGCCCGGAACTTCAGGAATACTGACTGAAGCGCAGGCTGGCTCTGGGAAGTTGTTGTGAGGCCTGACTGACCTTCGGATGCCCTTGCCAATTCTTTGTCAAAGTCCTTTCAAATGAAAATCGATGTATGGCGCAACCGCTACACTCCCTCAGCGTCAATCTTTTACTCCGCTTTCGTTCGAAGTTAGAGAATGAAACCTCCCGTGTTCCCATCTGACGTTCTTGTTCAGTTTTATTCGTGGAATTCGGCATTAATTCTTATCCACGCCATCCCCATGCGCATAAATAAGCATTTCAATTAAATTTAAGTAGCACGTAGAGTAATCTACACCATTCTGTCTTGGCGCTGTAGTGATGGAAAACTTCCTTGACCCTTAGCTCGACAGGGTCTGCCTCCGTCCCGTAGCAGCCTTTCCTCCGAGATAAGATCGCTTTCGAGAAAAAGGCCTCCCAGTTCACACAGATATTTCCTTACATCTTCGTGACGGGGATGAGTCTTAGTGTTCTCCATAAATTTGCTCATCGTGCTATCGTATTTGATTTACAAATACGGTGCTAAAGGGCTAGCGTTTTGACATTTTGACGGGTATTGCAGTTCCCCGCAGTTCTTTTGACGTCTTGCGGCACTCGAGCAAACAGTTGAGTAATGGAAGATGCAATTTCGTCGACTGTGGAGATGTCCACCGATAAGAATGTCCTTCGAGCACCTAAAGATCTTTAGACGTAGATATGTCCGTGACAGAAAGGAAAACAGTTTTCTTCCCTGCCGCAGTCTTTCTCCAATTCGACCACAAACCTTCGGTAGTCATCATCCTGAACAGAGCCTAAGAGGGCTGTCAATAGAGCCGAGAGACTCTTTGACTTTACTGGTATCAGAGAGCAGTCATATTTGTCTGTTCTTTATCATCGAGGGCTTTTGTACTTACACTGAAGCTCTTAAATGGCACAGGTGGTAACGGCAAATTGCTATACCCTACGATCCAGCAAGATGAGGTACAAATGAAGTCACCTTGCCTCTTCTCCAACTTGTCTGTGCCCTAGGAAACATGAACCGGTACGTCTCAGGCGAAGGAAGCATTTACTAGCATAGTGGACGGGTCTCCCAAGCAATCATCCAGGCCATATGCATAACCAGAAACCATTACCATTAAGTAGATGATTTCTCTCATCTTTGCCACCTGCTTGGCCTGATTTAGAAGCAGTCCGATAAGAGGCCCGAAGCTTGGTCTTTTAATAAGTAGTTTTCAGGTTTGACCTGCACAGAGACTTCATTACTAGGCGACTACTAACTAGTTCATGCGAAAGTTTGGAGGAAACGAGCTCTCATCTAACCCCAGGTGTTAAGAGAAAAGTTGACATTGAGGTCTTTTGGCTGGTTTCTGTTGGCTCTTCCTTCCCCACCTCATAAATTTCCTCAGACTATTGCATATTCTGCCCTGTAAAGATGAGAATCCTTCGTTTTTACCCTGCTGATAATGTTTTTTAATAACAGTAAGGTCTTTGACGAAAAATCTGTTGAGAAACTGTTGAATATTGCCTGTTTACAAAAATCATCTATTTTCGAAATCCGAGTGCCGGTCAAATGCGTGTCGCAATCCCTGAAGATCTAACTTGATCGTTCACCTTAGAACCGTGCGTCTATCGCTGTATTTCCTGGTACACTTCAGTAAAAGGAGCCATGCCGTTCAAATCATCAAGAAACTATTGATATCTCGTCACTTTCTCATATTTCTTTTGCGAGTATCGCAATCATATCAGGTTTCTCGTTAGGCAATGGACATCATTCCGGGAAAGTCTTGTCCATCAAGTCTCTGGGACGAGCCTGAAGTCTAATGCTATTTGGGATACGTCGTGAGAGGGGTGGCAAACGAAGCCGGATGGCTTCAATGCAATTCCCACCAGACCCACAACGACTCGCCATATCACTCACTCTATTCCGTTTCTTCCAATTCCCTCGCCCCCTCGATATCTCCATCTCATTCTAATTCCTATTCATATCCAACATAGAACGGCTTGGTTGATGCATTCGTTTTTTCGCATGAAATTTATTTTAACAAACAGATGGCATGCCATTGGCATACTGTAGTACGCTCATAAACAAAATAAAATCCTCGTTTATGAGATTTAGCCTGACATTTTTCTATCCACACGTTCTGGCCTCACAGAAATGTTTTTGAAGGAATGGCGTCAGATGATGAGTATGACAGAAACCTTACAATTTTTCCATGGTGCGAGTGGAGCCTTTGAGGAAGGGAGGGGTCACACATATCTACTCATACTCATTTTCCATCAGCACGACGGCTGACAGCATTCTGTTACGTGTACCCCTCTGACACCTTTCTTCCTTAAATTTTTGAGCTTTTTTCGGGACTTGACCGAGATTGGGTCGTTTTTGAATGAAAAAGTGAGAGAAGGTTCATTTTGAAGAGATCAGATTTTGCGATATCAGGACCGTTCCTCTGTGGCTCCGACCAGTAACCGTTAACTGAACCCATTTCATCCACAAAATTTCCAAAAGCGATCTACACATATCGATGCAAAGCGGTTCACTTCTGCTTCGAAGGTGAAGCCATCAGGCTAGGTATCCTGGTAGATAAAATTGATTCCAGACTTCAAACAAGCTCTGATATACTAGAGCAGGAATAAGGAAGTAGGCGAAAAGTACGGCTGTTTGTTCTGGAACGGGTCATGCACTTCGTTTCCAATCGAGAAACATTCAAATACGTATGAAACCGAGCCCTGATTTTTAATTTTCAAATAGTGACTGATTTCAAAGAAGTGAATCTCTCGACCTGGTCGGGTTGGGACCCTGTTGAGATTCCTCTCATTTTTTAACGCTTTTGAGTAATCCCTTTTATGTTGCTGGCAATTGATTACCGAAGTAATCAATCGAAGAGAAGGTGATTCTGTGATTCTATTTTGAAAGGGGCCCACCCAGACGTTCGTGCAATTGAGAGCAATC